CCCTGTTTCTCTTGGACACACCTGCAGCACGAGCTCCGCACAGCAGCACACGCTCACACAGAGGACGGATGCTACAGGCGTACACGTAGCGGCCGGCATCCACACAACAGCGTGTATTCCGTATGCGCGGGCGACGCGTGGCTTGATGTTCTCGGAAGCGTCCGGGAGTCACGCCAGTAGCGTTAGTCGCGGTGGTCGACGCTGCGTGCACGCCCGTTGTCTGTTGTGCTTATTGGAGAGCTGGCGGCGCGTAGTAGAGTGCAGGTAAGTGTCTGCGTAGCAACTGTCCTGTAGCACGTCTTCGCGGCGTCTCCACGAGATTCAGGCCTGCGCGAGTGTGAGAAATTAACATTACATAATTATTAGCATTTTATTGAGATGTTAAATCACAGTGAGATGCTTAATTATTAATATCGTGCTGATCACAGTTCCTTCCTGCTAGCGAGTGTGAAAATTAACATTAATAATATTACATTATAATATAGACTAATTAATACGGATGTGACACCAAAGATCTATTTAATAATCATTCCGCTGAACTGGCATCTACAGTCCGCCTGCGGCGGAGTGTGAAAATTAATCATTAATAATATTAGCAAGTTATTATATAGATATATAAACATGGAGATATATATTATACAATTCCTGCATGGGCGCATCACAGTTCACCGCTGAACGCTGAGTGTGAAATAAGCATTATGGCGTTACATAATATTACATTATATAGATATTAAACATGAGATCTATATTATACATTCCTGCTGGGCATCACAGTTCACCCTGCGCGAGTGTGAAAATTAACATTACATAATATTACATTATATATAGATATTAAACATGAGATCTATATTATACATTCCTGCTGGCATCACAGTTTTCGCAGCCTGACGCGCGAGTGTGATAATCGTCAACTTCACGGTCATGCGACAGCACATGATAACATTACACTACAGACCATAGGGAGTGTACAATATAGATATTATACATGATATAGATATACATAGATATAGTCTTATACATGAGATCTATATTATACATTCCTGATGGCATCACAGTTCACACTGCATGCGTGATGTAATTCTCAATACTGCTGCCACACTGTGATATTACATTATATCTCATGGTGTTTTGTAGAGCTGTAACGATACACAAGCCTCTCGATTCGATCCGGTTCTCGATATTAGCCTCTCGATTCGATC